TGTCCACCCCCAAGACTGAAACCCCATGTGTTTCGCATGGCAGCATTCTTTGGATTAGGAAAAGAGCTGGAAGCCACTGGAAGGGTCCGCTTCTGAAATACTGCCCTTCAAGTAGCAAAAGGAGAATGGACAGGAGTTCCTTGCCTCAGAAAGATGCGTTACACACTCCCAAAGAGAGCCCCTGTGGTCCTGTTCTTGCTAAGGACACAAGGGGAAAGGGAAAAAAGCAGTCAGGAAATACTTACATTTGGATCGATATTATTAAAAAGGTCAATTTCATTTAAATGTTTAAAGTTATCACTTCCTCCAAGACAGCTGCAAGAGAAAAGCATTTTGCTAGTTATGCAGCTCCAACAACAAGTCTCAAAGCATAGAAAGCTGCACCAAATTAAGAGCACATGCTACTTGTTCAGTGTCAGCCTCAGCTTTTCGATACTCAAATTGCACATTATCTTCCGCTTAACAGAGAAGGCAGTTATTTATTTACCTGAATGTAAGTTTGGATTTTTCAAAATTTACGTTAACATCTTTACTGTCTTCAACACAAAATTCAATAAAGACATAGTCCCTCCGGTCATACCACTTCGCAGAAGCAGGCTGCCTAGAAACAGACCATTTAAGAGAAATCGATCAAAATTGAGACCTGGGTCACTTATAAAAAGTCAACGTTAAGCCTAACAAAATTGTTTAAGATGCTGAGGACCAAGATCCAGCTGTCCCAGCCTGCTATTAAGTACTAGAGACACTGTCAATGTTCACACATTTTCCCTCGACAGGTTCAACAGTATCCATCTAATTTCCATGGTAACGGACACAACTTCTTAGAACAGGGAAAACAGGTTTTTGTACAAGTATAAGCTATATGGCAATACTATAAACCTCTTATAAGTAAGAATTTAAAAGCATGCTTAGGTTGAAAAGTAGAGACAAACGTGAAAGAGATACCCAAAAGCTTTTCAGCACCGAGGGAAAACCAGGGCCATGTCTAGACCAACTTTACTGTGACCAGCAACAGCGCCTACAGCTGTCACCATAACACCTCCGCTACCTTGTGGAAGTAACTACACTGCTTCTGGTCAGCACGGCAATATGGGGGATAGCAGAAGGCAAGTTTGAGCATGCCAGTGCCAAGCAAGGTAAATATGAAGTCTAGACAAGCCCTCTGATAACTTCCCACTAAGGTTAACGAGAACACTTAATACAAGCAAAGTCCCAGGAGAAGGCAACATACTTCCTGATGGATGCTTGTACAATAAGACTCAAACTCCTGCTACTGCTAACAGCACCAATTAGCCAAATTTAATACATTAGTTATTAGAGGTGCACCGATATATTGGCGCTGATCCGATACGAGACCAACGTAATTGACAGCATTGGCAATCAGCTTTTTTTGACTGATGTGGCCAATAATGTCACCGATAAATGCCCCCCCATGCACGAGTGCAGCCAGAGCCACAGTGCAGCACGCACGTGGCCAGGAGTGGAGCCCAGCAGCATCCACCTGGGGGCAGGGGGGAGAGGAGACATGGACAGGATGGCAGATCAAGGCTCCTGAGGTGACGGAGGGAGTGGGGCAGGGGCTGTGTGCAGGACAAGGGTGGGCTGCTGTGAGCTGGGGCTGGTGCCGGGCTCTTCCTGGTGGGGCACTGGGCCAGGGCTGCGCTCAGGGTGGGTGATGGCAGTGCTGGGAGGCAGAGGCTATGATGAACTGAGGCGGCTGCAGGCCTCTTCCCCGCCCCTTTAAGCACCACCACCCACCTAAGTGCAGCCTGGCTCAGCCCACAGCAGTAGCCCACCCTCACCCCACGTGCAGATCTGGAGGCACATGTTCCTCATGCCCTCCCGGGGTGCTTGCAGCTCCCTCCCTGCACCCCCAGCGAGCCACTTGCGACTCCATCCCGCACTCTGCCCTGGCTGTGCAGCGCCTGCCCCTATCTAAGCCCCACTCCCTCCTTCACCACGGGGGCCTCAATCTGCCTCCCTCCCCTCCTCTACAGACTTACCAGCTGGATGTTACTATCTAAGCTGCCGGGCTGCATATCAGCAATTGGATTGGCATCAGCAGACATGGCTCCTTAAAAATCACCCATCGGTATCGGCCCAAAAAATTTCTATCAGTCCACTTTTATCAGTTACCTTTCGTTAAAATTCTTCAATTTATAGGGCTATTTCAAAGTCTCTTGAAAACCTCAAGGTTCTGAAGATGAGCAGAAAATGCATGCACACTAAAAAGTGCATGAAAGCCATTACTGGCACCAAGTGGATGGAAAGCTATGCAGTCCTGTGGAGAAGCCCATCAGACTTGGGAATCACAAAATACAAAAATGCAATTGCTACATATTGGCATTGAGATTTATCAATCAGGAGTCAAGCAGCAAAGCGTTTCAGCTCCTCTCAATGGAAGGGCCAATGTCTTGGCTCTCAGTGACGTGTGACAAGCCTAGAGGGTAGGCAGGATCTGCACAACGTATTTCAAGTCAAGCTGCAAATAAAACCTGTGGGGTCAATGGCGGCAATCTCTAGGAGCTGCTAGTTGGGTTGCAATCTGACAGAAACGCTTCAGCACGTGAAGCTCTTCTGAGGCAGGGAAGAGAAAGAAGAATATCCCCCTTGCCTTGCCTGTGCTCATTATGCTCCTAGGCCCTGGTACTATGGTGACTAGCTTCCACTTAAGTGTAGAGGTTGTCTCACCAGGCTTGCCACAGACACCAGTATGACAACCATCTTTCACCAGCCTTAGCCCCCCAACCCAAGTGTAGAAATCACTTCCCTAATCTTTGCATGCCTGAAGTTTTGTAATGAAGTCTCATGTCTACTAGAGGTAGAAACACTTCCCCCCCCCCCCCCACGAGCCATACTGCACATCTGAATTTCCATACCCTGGAGAAAGGTGCAGAGCCACCTCATACAACTGACTACTGCCACAAACAAGACTATAGGTGTTCAGGTATCTCCTTCCAAAGACACAGAAGATGGACTCTTCTAGTCATAACCCACTTACAGACAATGAGGGCAGATCCCAATCGCAGAGCAGAACCACTGG